AAACAAGACTCCAAGCCAATTTTCAGCCAATTCGGCGACCCCACATTACAACTCTTCCCTGATTTCGTGTGGAATTGCCGATGTATTGAAGTTGCACAATTGATTGTGTTAATTGAATAACATTGGAATACTAATCATTTACCGTTCTGTATTTGTAGCCATACCCAGTTGAAGTCATCAAACACGTTCCTCAGCCATTCACTATTGACCGTCCAGTTCCACAAGTAAGTGTATTGAACATGAATTATCTGCTTCAAAATTGCCATTTATGAAAGCAATTAAACAACTCTGAATACGTGTCATATCAAGAGTAAAAAATAACATATTTTCCCAACTTAATTTTATTTCATTATAGCCATACGAAGTACCTGTTCAAGTTGCCGTACCACGAGTAAGTTTATCATCTTCATTGAATTGATGAAAACAACACCAACAAATATCTAAACTCGACATTCTTCTCTTTTTTTCAATATAGCCATACGCCGTCCCAGTTGACCGTGTCCAAACTGTCATTGAACAAGTGCCAGTTCCTCAACTGTTCACAGTTGACCGTCCAGTCCCACAACCATACCCAGTATATGTCCAACCACAACCACAAGCTGTTGCTATTGCTGTTCAACCTCAAATCCAACAACAGGTTATTGCCGCTGCTGAACCGATTGCCTACGCCGCCCAAGCTGCCCCAGCCTACGAAGACACTCCAATCGCCGCTGCTCCAGCCTACGAAGCTGCACCACACGCTGCCTCCTCATTGTATTAAGTCAGTTGAAAACAACAGCAACTTGAAGATTCGTTTTTCCACCCTTGTTATTTGTAACCGGGAATTTCGATTTTTTAGAATTAATTAGTGAATTAAAAAAAATGATGAAAATTGAAAAATAAACAACAATTGGCTTTTTTATTCATCATCTTGCAGTTAATCACAGTAGATTGAGATCTCATTGTTCAATCGTAAACGATTTTTTTTCTTTTTCCGTTCATACTTTGCATACTATGTGCAGAAGTACATTAGTCGAGCCAAGATATCGATTGAAAATCAAATCGATAAGCTAGTTAGTGTTTAATTCGGGAGCCTCTTCAAGAAATTCTCTAATTGTTTAATAATTAAAGAAGGACTTGTCAATGTCAATCTGCATATTAAGAACATTTTTAAAATCATATCGGCCATGGACATGTTTGATAAGTCGTCGATTGCACATTAGTAAAACTGACTATTGACTTCGGACGAATATTGAGTACGTGGCTGCACGCGTAATGGCAATTCAATAGAGTTTATGGCAAACTGTTCCAAATGCTACCACCAAAATAGATGCAACCTTGTTGTGATTGGTATTAAATTGCCAACATTATGAAGTAATTTAGGTTCTAGGTTTCTTAAACGAGATGGCAAGCTATTCGACTTAAATGTGCACATTTATACGTTCTCATCATCATCATATCTAAAAATATAGTATCCTATATGCATGTCTATTGTATGCTTGTTTTTCAACCTATTTTTCCAAAAATTTTCTAGTCAAAAAGCCAATATCTACCTATACATTTTCAAATTTTCATAGTCCACGTCTGAAAAATTGCAGATAGTTCATGCATTTTATTGCGTTTCACCTATAAAATGAACTGTAGGATATTGTATGCAATCGATTTTCGTACATACAAATCGTTTAGTCGATTTGGGTCATTTACTAATGTCATTCGAATTATCATTGTATAATAATTGCATTTTGATATCATACTCAAGAAGTCGTCTAGTTTTCTCAGCCAAACCATCAGTGAATATGAAATGTTCATCGTTGAATTTGAAGGGAAGATCCACGTAAACCTACCTTAACGATTTTCATCATTTTCTTTCATTCTAAATGTGATTTTAATTGGGAAACCTTCTAGATGTCCCGTTAAATATCATTGCAAGTGAAAGTTGATTGTCAGTCTGTGTTCGTTGTTCGTGCGTATCGTTGGTTCAAATTCATGTACAAAATCTTAGCCAAAAAAAGATTGAATTACTCTACAATCTCTTTACTAAAAACGTGATCAAATTTAATTTTTTTCTGAATCAATTGTTTCTTCTTCAAAAAGTGAATAAAGCATGGAAAATAAAAAAGACGAAAAAAAAGATCCAAAAAAGCTATTCGCGATGAAGTACTTCAAGTCGATTGAAAAGTCGTTTGAAAATGTGGGCACTTATCGGCACCAAGCATTCGAAAATCATTCAATCAATTTGAAAAACTCTATTATTATCGCTATTCTTGCCCAAAACATCATTCTATCGGCAATATTTTTACTGTTCAAAGCAAAAACTTTCGCTGAATTCTCTGAATCAGTTTATAATACGGCAACTGTTTTGGCGAATTTCGTAGTGGTTGAAGAATTTGTTCGTAAATCTTTGAAGATAAATCAGATGACTGCAAACTTTGAAAATACTATTCTGAAACGTAAGTATAACCAAAAATTAATTAAAATGTAACCATTTTTATGTTATAAAATAAATGTTACTTCGCAATTTCATCGAAATTAAATATCCATTTGTCGGTATTATCATCAAATCGATCAAATATAAGTTTTCATCAGAAAAAGTGTGAAATGAGCCCGCATTGAAATGCCATCCCATTACAAAGTAACTTTTTACCACAAAATCGAGTAATATCGAAAAAGTTATAACATTTGTAAAATTCCAACATAAGTTGATTTAAAAGACGATTATTCTGTAATAATCATTGAAAGAAAATGAAATTCGACCAATCAAATAGTTACTTTTGTTATTTTAATCAACACCGCCAATTACTGGCTGAATAATATAAAAGATTATATGAACCGTTGCGACAAAAAAACTCCCCCAGAATATTTGAGAATTGAATCGAAGCATGGCATTTGCCTACGAACAAAGAGCAACAACGCAAGTTTTTTAACCCTTTGACGACCTTTGGGACACATAAGTCCCATTTTGTTTTTCGTCAATAATTTCCACATTTTTAGACCGATTTCGATAAAACTGGTTTCTTTTGAAAGAGAATGAATGTAGCTACCAGAAAGTACCATAATATTGGATATTTTATATCACTGTGCTAAAATAGAACACTGCAAAGTCGAAAAATCTTTAAAAAAAATTCAAATTCCGCCAAACCCTATATAATTTGAAGGGTACAACTTTTAAAGCTGAAAATTGGAAATGTTGTACGGAGTGTCTGTTACTTTCTAAGGATAATCGCCTTTTCTACAAAAAATTTTGTTTCAAATTTTTATTGCTTTTGGCGCGATGGGACATATGTGTCCCATTGGTCGGTAAAGGTAAATAATAACCACTGATTTCCCTGTATTTCAACCACTTTTCGCGAATTTTGAAACACACAAATTTACAAAAAGATCGTTAAATTCGTGATTAAATGGGCACAACAAAGCATGATTCAAACCATTTTTGGTTTAAAACGATTCTATTAATTTTAAAAATGGAAAAGATTTTACACGTAGTTCTTATGGGAGACATGTTTTTTTTCATAGAAAAATAAAGGTAAATAGTTACCTTTACCGACCAATGGGACACATATGTCCCATCATTTTTTTCATATTTGCAATTAAAAAAATTAATTTTTGATAACACTTTTGTTAATATTTTTGGGGTCGCTGAGCACGAATCTGCAATCAGAATTGCAAAATTCCCAGCCGTTCAGTTTTGGTCGTCAAAGGGTTAACCAAAGCGACACAAAGCAAATGTGAGAAACAAAGTGCAACATGAAAATTCATGTTGCAGTTTAAAGCCGAAACTTGCTTTGTAGCACTTTGTTTCTCAAATTGGTGTTGTTTCTCTTTGAATCTAATTTCGGGCATGATTCAGTCTGTTTCATAATTATGATAAGTTGATAACGAGTGCGAATTTGGATGTGCCCATAGCACCAATGGATTGGGCACATTGAATACTGTATGAGAATCAAAAAAAAAAATTTAACTTTTTTTTCGATTTTTGCCTGTGTTCGACCGTCTACATGGGAAGTTTATATGAAAACCTCGGAGCGCCGCTACTATTGCATTGGCTTCTATGGCCACACTCATTATGTGCAATTTTTACTCGTATTACAAGCTGTTGTGTTACGAACAACAGAGCCGCTCGCTTCGTTTATCTTGAAAATTTACGCGCAATAAATATTGCACACAAACAGGCATGTGCACGTCTACAAGCGCATCTTACGAGCGATTATGAATGAATGTATTGAGAAGAAGAGTCTCCAATGTGTTTGTATTGTATACAAATATAGCATACTCAATATTGTAAGGCACTCACTCAACATTACGTTTATTCATTCTTTCATAATCGCTTGTAAAGCGAAACATGTTCAATCGTGTTCGTGTTTGTGTTTGTGTGCAATGTTTTTCAATTAAAACGAAGCGAGCGGCTTGAAAACAGCTTGTAATACGAGTAAAAATTTGCACAAAATGAGTGTGAGCGAAACAGCATAAGTTTTCGGCGCTCGATTGTCTTCCATATAGGCCAATGCAATTGAATATAATATTATTAAATATTTACGCATGGAAATATCTCGAAAACGGATGGATAAATCGGTAAAACGGAACGTGATTCCACTCCCAAAGGGAGTGTAAACGCCCAGCTGGTTTGATGGCCTAGAATACAAATCTGGTGAAATTTCAGCTGATCCATGGATTCTCAGGATTTGGCCAGGTTCCAGTGCTTTTGTATTCTAGGCCGTTAAACCAGCCGGGTGTTAACATTCCCTTCGGGAGTGACACCAACGTCCATTTTGCCGATTTACCCAGCCGTTTTCGAGATATTTCCATATGTACATTTGGCCATAGAAGCCAATGCAATAGCAGCGGCGCTCCGAGGTTTTCATACAAACTTCCCATGTAGACGGTCCAACACAGGCAAAAATCGAAAAAAAAATTAATTTTTTTTTTTCAATTCTCATACAGTATTCAATGTGCCCAATCCATTGGTGCTATGGGCACATCAAAATTCGCACTCGTTATCAACTTATCATAATTTTGAAACAGACTGCATCATGCCCGAAATTAGATTCAAAGAGAAACAACACCAATTTGAGAAACAAAGTGCCACAAAGCAAGTTTCGGCTTTAAACTGCAACATGATTTTTCATGTTGCACTTTGTTTCTCGCATTTGCTTGGTGTCGCTTTGGTTCAAAAACTTGCGTTGTTGCTCTTTGTTCGTAAGCAAATGCCATGCTTCGATTCAATTCTCAAATATTCTGGGGGAATTTTTTTGTCGCAACGGTTCATACATATATAATCTTTTAAATGTTGCGTATCGAAAATGTGCATAATTTTTTCAATAACTTATTTTGTTTTCCTATTTATCGGTCAACTTTTGAACTTAACATGATTATCAAAAATTTATTTAGTTTTGGAGAGCTAATTAAATATTTACTATCATACAGGCCTAGAGGATCCAACATCGAAGCTAATGTATGAAAATATGAGTGAAAAAATTGAAAAGCGAACTGAAATGATGCATTTTGCATTGATAAAAGTTACGTTGCCTGGTGTAATGACACCAAATCTAATCATGAGCTATTTCACCTATTTCACCACTGATTTGGGTAGTGAGGCTTTCCGTTTGGCATTCCCGATATGGTCAGATATTTTCAAGCTCCAGAATATTAATGAAAAGAACGAGGCGTAAATTCTTGCAGATTTTTATACCATTGTGCTTTCAAGCAGTAGTGGAGTAGGTACGGACTCAAATACACTGTACTTTAGACTTTAGTACTATTGATTGGTAAATAATCATGGCGGCTCCATATTATTGCAAAAAGCACAAATGGTATGAAGCCTTCACACGTTCTTTTGCTTGCATTTTATCGTTTCAACCTCATTCTAAACTTCTTCTACGTCGTCGTCGTCGTTACATTTAGGCTACCCTTCGAGTGGAAAACACCGTTCGGATATTTGATTGCATTCTCAATTCAATTTGCGGCATTCTATTGTATTATCATATTTGTCAACTGTTTATTGGGTCTCATGATTGGATCGGGCGAAACGTTACAGACACTTTCCAAGGATGTTAAAAATGAGCTACGTGCGTTGAATGAAGCCAACAAAACTGATGATCCAATTGAGTTCAAGCAAAAAATGTGTGCATTTGTTGAATTTCTGGCAGATATGAGACAGTTAAGTGAATTCAATTTAAGTATTTTTAAGCATTCAGCGCTAATCGATTCGAAAAGATAACATAAGATTAAATGCATTCATTTAGGTTAACTCGAGATTTTTCCGAGATCTATGAATTTATGATCACTCCTGCCTTTTTGTGGAGTCTTTCAACCATATGTGCCACACTTCTAATGGTTCAAATGGAATTGGTTAAGTGCTTTATTGTTATATTTTTATTATTTGCTTCAATTTTTATGATATTTAAAATTCTATGCAGAATACTGGAAATTTGATTGAATTGGTTCGTCCGGTGATATTGCTGTTTTGGTCATTCGCTTCAATTTTCTTGCTGTGCAATTTTGGTCAACAAGTATCCAATGAGTTCGAATCGATTACCGATGCCATTTCCGAATGTGATTGGTATACGTTTCCGATTGAATTTCAAAAAATGTTATTAACGGTTATAACAGCCACCCAACGCCCTGTATATTTACGTGGTTTTGGAAATATTTTACTAACGCGAGAGACCTTCAAAGCGGTACGCATTTCTCATGACACATACACATGCATGCATTAGGACGACACAGTAATAACTATTATGTCAACTTACAGGTTGCCAACGGTGGATACTCCTACTTTACGGTCCTACGCCGATTTAACAACTAAGACTCCTCTATCAGAGAAGAGCATTTTATAACACAATGGCTCATCGGTCATTGTTTATTAGTGTGTGTTGTTGTCTCAAATGCACATTGCACAGCCACCACATTGGGTTTAATAATTTATCAAATTTAGGACCATCCACCACTATTTTAGCGTTTGTAATAATTTTATTTATTTTTTTATTTTATTTAACACCGCCAAGCTCTGGCTGAATATAATGAGGTTTAAATAAGTGTTTGGCCGGAAAAGAGTGCAAGACTGTTACATCAATTTATAATAATAATAATTTACACCAATTTAGTACAAATTTCAGTTCTCGCCTCGTTAAAAACCTGGCTCTTTTCATAAATTATGCAGTATTTACAAAAGTAGGCACATGAAAACAAAAACATAGTCATACAACCAAGATGGAAGTGCTTGATAGTAGTCTGATAGAAAACGGTCCAAAATAACCTTTGGTAAACGTTTCCAAAGTACAAAGGCTATGTGAAGCGTTCAATTTTTCACTTTAATTGGAGACTCTAGGACAGCAAAAGTCGTTACTCAATTTATACCGGTGGATAAATTGACGAGAAGTTTTACGTCGGTTTAGGCAGATCCATGTTGGCTGCAGAGTGATTTGAGTTAATAATTGGCCATGATTTGAAGCGTATGAGGAGCGTATAATGTTTGTAATAATGTTGTAGAAAATTTTAAATCTTCTATGAGAACTTTATTACAAGATTCGTTGGATGAAATATAGTAAGAAAATGCACCTACTGCACCTTACTACTGATAATATTTCACGAAAAAGATTCGAAGTAGGTACATCACAATTTTATTAACTCGATATAATAACAAAGTAGCATAGACTCAAACCAAATTATTTTTGAACATTATTGACTTGAATTAACTATAATTTCACCTTTTATGAATGGTCAAAGAAATATCTATGTGCAATACAGTTTATTCAAATATGAAATGTAGCAGAATAATCAAATAAATCAAAAATATTTAACTTATTGTTGAAACATCCGATTTTAATTTATTCAATGAATAATCTGTACTAAGAATTGTTTGCTGTTCTCCGCAAAAAATAGATTGTTATAATAAAATTCTCGTGAAAAATTCTCGTGGAAAGCGAAAGCACATTTAGGCATTGCTCTGATGCCGATTTTATTGATATGAAAGTCCTTTTAATTCGAATTGCCTAAGATGTTTTCATCTTCTCAAAATCAATTCAAAGTTCCACAACGAAGATTCATTTTGATATTGAACAACTTAGAATATTAAATCGCTACAAATTCGTTTCTTTTTTCCAAGAATACGCTACAGCGAACATCGATTCGAGGTGAAAGGACATTAGATATATTTTCATTCAAACTTCCATTTATTTAAAACTTTTTTTCCAAACAATACCTAACATTTTGCGTTGTCAAAAGCAAATAACAAGTATTTGAACTTGAAGGTTTTCAGTCGTTACAAAGCAAGAGATACTACTTAGAAATGATGAGCGACGGCACCATGGTGATGATGGTGATGCTCAAGAGGAGCTCCGGCGTAGAGAGCGCGTTCGGTTAAGTGACCGTGAGCGCTGACAGCAACTGGAGCGGCATGCAAGGCAAGAGCTTGTTCATGGTGGTGTTGGATGGCAACACCAATGTAGGCTTGTTCATGAACAATCGGAGCGATAGCTGGTGCAGCAGCGATTGGAATAGCCGGAGCCGGATGAACCAAGTGAGCGGCGTTCAATTGATCAAGAACTGGTGCATGAACGAAGCCAGATACAGCCGCCAATGGAGAACCGTTAGTCAAAGGTGCACTGTGAATTGCGTGAGCACCTATTAATGGAGTAATGTGTGCATGTCCGGCTGGTAGCCCGTGTGCGAGTTCATGATGTGGGAAAGCATGGGCACCGTGCAAAACACCACGCTTTTCTCTCTTTGTTTCACCAGCAATGCTGGTTGTCACCAAGGCAAACATGCAACCAACCTACAAAGCACAAGAACTAGTACAAATACACAAATCAATAACATCTCTGGTCAATTCTTTTTTTCAATTTCCGTATTGACACTTTTAATCATGAACGCTGTTTATTTACATACCAAGAATTTCATTTTTCCAATGAACTTATAAAAACTGTAATTTGTTTAAGAAACCAATTCGGTCTGATTTTCGGATCGAATCAGAGCGATATTTATACGGAACATGTCCAAACCCTACCATGCAAAGCGTTTATGGAAATGGACATTGATTAATTGATATTTCAATTTTGCGAAATTCGCTTAAATTCCACACGAGGCATCAAAGCATACAGCGGACGTATACATGTCTCTTTCGTTCCATTTTGTGCATATTGGCGATTGTATATACTATTCAACAGATTCCAACGAATCCGAACAAAAAAAAACATTTGTGATTTCTGTCATGGACCAGATTCATTTTTTTTCTCACCCAATAGCATTTTCAGCGACATTTTATTGATGATTTTTATCACAGATGACTTGTTATTTCTTTTCATCTTATTAAATCTCTTATGTCACTTGTATTTTGCTCTGAATAATTAAGACATTATCGTTAAACCAAACACTAAGAAACCATTGGAAAAAATGGCAAAAGTTTTTTTTAGTAATTTTCAACATATTATTATTCAATGAAATTAAATTGAATTTTTCAAAATATTTTGATGGCGAAAAAATTGGAAACTTGGAATTTGGAACGTAAAAATGTAGATTTTTAAATCTTATCAATTGAATAACAGACAGAATAATGAATACTATTTTCATTCTAATATGGGCGAATTTCGATAAAGCATCGACTCTTCTTCTGATTGACCTTTACAAATTTTTTATACCATCTTATATAATTTGAATCTGAACACGGAGTAAATTCTTCAAATTTTCTCTATTACATTAAGACTAAAAGCCTCCACGTATGTTCTAAGTACACTTGGCATATTTGGCAATGGATATAAATATGCAAGGCCATTACCAATTATCGTACTTACTTGGTAGGCGTAATTGTCCTTTAGCTAGGATGTTCGAATGGAAATGTGGAAAATATTTGAAGAGCATGTTTCCATACGAATTCGTATTGGTCTGTTTTCAAGTGTGTTTTTAATCGATTCAAATTGAAGTTTAGATTCACAAAATCGAAAATGAATACATTGTAACAACAACGGTGTTATTATGACAATAGATGTTACCAATAATGATATTGAACACGAAAAACCCCCTAGATTTCTGCTAAACTTTTAAAGATGTTTTTTTCGTTTTTTTTTCACGTAAATGCATATAACCAACCTATTTTCTTATGAATTCTACGCAACATTGATCTTCTTCAAAAATTGGATCATTAGGATAATTAATGCACTTTCAAACGTCAATTCAAATGATTGCACGAAGCCTTTGGATACTCGATCAAAGTGAAATTGAATTATTGTTCTTCAAATTATGGAGTTTTTATTTCTTTAACTATATTCGAAATTACACATTTTTCATGCAAAGATCAATAACAAAATTAGGCAAATGAAACTCCAAGTCGGATTTCAGTCATTAAAACGTAATGTAATGCTTAGAAATGATGAGCGAGGGCACCATGGTGATGATGGTGATGCTCTCCGGCGTAAAAAGCACCTTCGGCTAAGTGTCCATGAGCGCTGATAGCAACTGGGGCGGCGTGCAAGGCAAGAGCTGGTTCATGGTGGTGTTCGATGGCAAAAGATGGAGCAGCGTGAACAGCGAAAGCGTGTTGTTGGTGTTGAACATATACTGGGTATGGTTGTGGAACTGGACGGTCAACTGTGAACGGTTGAGGAACTGGCACTTTTTCAATGACAGTTTGGACACGGTCAACTGGGACGGCGTATGGCTATATTGGAAAAGAGATAGATGGATCGAGTTTAGATATTTGGCTTTGATAATGATTTTCGAGCAAGTCGATCGAAGTCAAACTCACCTTTGGAACTGGAACTTGAACGCGGACTTCGTATGGCTACAATGAAAAATTGGATGTGTGTTATAGAAAATGATTAATTGAGAAAAAAAAATCACAGAAAAACCGTCAAAATTAAGTTTAGGAACAAACAATTTGACATCCCGGCAAACAATTTTCGAGTTATGTTGACTGAATAGCAGACGTTCATTTGCATAATTTAATTTACTATAGGTAATACCCCACGTTTTTGGTCCATGCAAAGTCCTATGCAAGGTTTGCATGAGACCTGCATAACTCAAAAATTATTTATCACGATACTTGTTAAGAATCATCACATGTTGATTGTTCTTTCAGAACCGATTAAAAACAATAGTTACTTGTGTCACTGGACGATCTACGACATAGGGTTGAGGAATGTGTTCGATGACTTCTACTGGGTATGGCTACAAATACAGAACGGTAAACGTTTAATATTTCAATGCAATGTTATTCAATAAACACAGTTCAACTGCGAATCTTCAACCAGAAATGATCCTCACTTGTGGCACTGGACGGTCGATTGGAACGTGCTTGACGACAGTGCGATCAACTGTGTATGGAACTGGTACGCTGACTTTTTCGACAGTATGAGTGTGTTGGTGAACATGTTGGGCGACTTGTTGAACGGTGGCAGCTGGTGCAGGGGCCGATGAAATGTAGGCTTGTTGCTAGGGGAATTTAACTCTTACGAGTGCAGCATGTTTTCTGCCAGTTTGCTTGATTCGCGGAAGTTCGACGCGTTCGTTGTACGTACTGACGCGCACGGTCACAAGTTTACACAAGTTTGTTTATGGTTTTGCGCGTTTTTCAAGTTGTTATTTGACAACTAAAACGCGTTTCAAACTAAAAATCGGTTGTTTACGTATATAAAGATTTTTCACATCCTTTCCAAAAGATCAAAGATTTATATAATTATAAAATGGACAAAGGAAATATTTTTAAAGAGCTGGAGAAAGTGTTGGAAGAAAAAGTTAATCCAGATATAATAAATGGAAAGACTGATATGTGTCGTCCAGCTTCATGTTTGCACACGAACTCGCACAAGTTCGCGCATGTTGTTTTAATACGGAACTTGTCAACTGAGTGGAATCATGCAAGTTCTCTGGTGAATGTAACAATTTCGTGCGCGTTTATATCATTTTTTT